CCCTGTCTTCCTGCCAACAACCCCAGGGCTGGCTCCTCCTCCAGGCCACTGGTGGGTTCAGGTGAGAGGTGGCTACCTCCTCAGGCAAATTACCTGCCTACCTGCCTGGCCTGCTATAATATGATGTTCCCAACATTTGTGCCCAAAATCTCCATAGCTAAGAGGGTTTCTTTTTTCTTTTCCTTTTTTAATCCAATGATCCCCATGATTTAAAGTATTCTTTAATTAAATTATTATTATTTTTTTTTTTTTTAGTTGGAGTCTCACTCTGTCACCCAGACTGGAGTGCAGTGGCCGCTCCCGGCCACTGCAGCCTCGACCTGCTGGGCTCCGGCAATCCTTCCGCCTCAGCCTTCCAAGTAGCTGGAGCTACAGGCACGCGCTACCACGCCTGGCTAATTTTTGATTTATTGTAGAGATGAGGTCTCACCAAGTTGCCTAGGTGGGTCTTGAACCCGCGGGGTCTGGCAATCCACTCACCTCAGCCTCCCAAAGGCAATTAAAAAAATTTTTTTTCAAGCTCTTTTGTCCCCATTGAGGAAAAACTTCTTGTGATAGTTTCCTAAGAAACAATTGGAAGGGGTCTTCTAGGGTGTAAATATTGGGAAGGTTTACCAGCCCACGTGTGGACTCTGAATCCAACACAAACAGTTTGTGTCTCATCAGTGTGGCTTTTGAGCATCCCATTTAAAACTCATGAAGGCTTTAAGTTGTTCATGAAGAGTGATATTCACTCTATAAATATTTATTGCACACCTACTATGTACTACAAGCCCAAGCCTCAAGAAGACATCACTATACAGCAGAGGGTACAAATGAACAGCACGTTGGCCAGATTCAGCTCACAAACATTTTATTTGAGTCACACTGTATTTATCAAAAATTTAAATTAGTTGCCAGCTTTTAAATATCAGGACATTTCCAGCTTCTCTTGAAAACTCAGGAAATCTGGCAAAAACTAAGCCCACATTCCCAGTTGATGACAAGCAGAATAACTACTGCCCACTTCAGAAATACACTGGCTCCCAGCTCACACAACCCCCACCTGCCCGCTTTCCCTCAACTCAATCGGCCCAGCATTTGGTGTTGATTCTCAGGATGGAGAGACACAGCACACCCACCCTGGGAAAGGCCTCACTCAGAGACAAGTAACCCAACCACGCCCCTCATCTCAGAAGAGTTGATTCTCACCTCCTTAAGATCAGGTAACAGCGATTTTCTTATTCTGTGTCTTCTCAATCTTTTTGTTTTTAAATAAAGGTTTTTTTGATCCCCAGTAATGAAAAGTTAGGGAAGGTATTCAGTTTTTAACACTTGCTAGGACAAGGAACTTGACTCCAAAGGAAATGGCAAGGCTGAAGCATAGAAGCAAAAAGTGAGGACCACAAGAACAGGATGGACTCTTGAGGGTGTTCTCATTTGCCAGATTCCACTGCTGACCAGTAGGAGAATAGGAACATGGTCTGGGCAGTCTTTACCCAGCCAGAACCACATTCTGTCCCACTTCCCGCTTACATGTTTACAAGGAATGACAGAAGTTCATCAGATCTGGGAAATAAATTTGAGAATTGATTTCAGAAGTCACATGATGCTATCAGGTACATGATTCTAAACAAAACTACAAAGATTAATTGGTAACTTTCATCTATATCTACTGATACCCTATATGTGAGTCAACATTGTAATACTAGAAAAAATGTATCTTTCAATCCCAGAGGTGCCTATTAGGAAAGGCAGTTTGTTTTCATGTTTTCAAACTATGTATTGCCAAAATCCTGGTTGTGTTTGTAACCACAACCTGTTTGTAAACAAGTTGATCCCAATATTTGTTGCTAATGGAAAGTTTTACTAAAACAAATATAATTCAGTTGCAACGAACACAAAGATAATGACCAGAATCTTCACTTGGAAGATTAAAGTTATTTAAATGGGCCATTGTTTGGAACTTAGACATTTCGGTATTTTTATAATAATAATAAGCATATATGGCATTCAATAATATTGTAACCAAGGACTACTCTGGTAACAAATTTAAATTAATCCAAAAATCAGTTTTAGGTGCAGCAAAAAGAAAAGGAGGAGAGCAGCATTTGCAGAACAGAGAATATTTGATTTAGCTCTGCCAATATGGCCTAAGACAGAGTTTCATATCTGCTTTTACAGATGAGGAAAGTGAGGCCAAGAAAGCTGACTTCCTCAGTTTCCGTTTGCTGGGAATGGGCTATCCCCAGGTCATTCTAACTTCAAAACCCGAGTTTTGTCAGCTACAGCAACTCACGGCACAGAAGCCACTAAGATGAGTAATGGCCAAAATTGTTAAGACAAGGACACATCACAACTAGGTTACAGAATGCAATAAACACAAGAAAAAGAGTCAAAAACAAGTGCTTGCCTTAGAAGAGGGCAAAAGCACAGGAGGTGGAGGGTTGGTGGATCAGGGAAGGCTTCTGAGATGTGGTGACATTCCAGAAAGTTCTTGAAGGATGCATTGTGTGACAATAGGCAAAGAAAAAAGGAGAAGCAAAAATACAGCCCTAAATGCTGGGCACAGAGGAATGAGACATAATCAGTTTAGATTTGGAATGAATAAAGCAAATCTTCATAATGAAGTTAACCATACGAAAAAAATGAATCCTCCGCCCAGGACAAGGTCCATCACATGAGGCCCGGCAACTTCATGCCTCCAAGGAAGGGCGCCACGCTGCAGACTCAGAACACTCACCTGCCCAGAGTGCCTGGGGAGAGGCAGCTGGGCCCTCTGCACCCCCAGGAAACCCAGACACTCACACCTTCTTCCTCGTTGCCCTGTTCCCTCCTTTCCCTCCTCTTCCCCTCAGAACCTTTCTGCCTGCCTGTGCCTTCCAGAGCCAGAACCAGGCACCCTCTGGCTGATTGAGGGCAGCTCACTTCATCTTCTCTTTCATCTCAGATTGTGAAGGAAGAGCTTTGTTTCCTTTTCAAGGAGCTGCACCAGCAGTAAGGCTGGCGGAATAAATTGGGGAAGGAGGAAGCAGGACCCCCGAAGTCTAGCCTTTAGATAATTCTTTTAAAGAGCTGAAAAAGGGAGGGGAGAGAAGGCTGATTCGCCTCAGGTTCTGTGTCTGCCCTGCCCCAGGACAGAAAAGCTGGATCCTGCTACAGCAGCTGTGGGCGATCTCTGTCGGCTCCCAGGGCTGGAGGATCTTGTGTCCTGAGGCCCCTCCGCATCTGCTCATGGGGGCCGAGCTCCTGCTTGGTGTTCCAGTACACTTAATTTCATTTTATCCAACGAGGCTCAGAGAGCCAAGACACTTGTCCCGGGAAAGCGGTAGCACCGGGACTTGAACTCATTAGACCACGGAAGGGAAGGGGGGATGCTAGTTTGAGTAATACAGCCTCCCGGCGACCCCCTTTTCCCACTTTCGGGGACACGTCCCCACACTTGCTCTGAATGAAGTTTCTGATGGCGAGGGTGGCGCCGCCCTCCTCCTCGGCCGCGGTGGGACCCCAAGGGCGCCCCAGGGTGGGCGGGGAGGCAGCATCATCCCCTGAGAAGGGAGCCAGAGAACTTCAGAGCGTCTGGCCCTTCCCCTGGAGAGGCAAACACCGACACGTCTGTGTCTTTTACCAACAAGTGCCTTCAAGCCCGGCGGGGGCAGACACCTCCGCGCCGGCCGCTGGCGAGGTCTCCGCTGTCTGCGGGGGCCATGGCCTCGCATCAGCTGCACTGATTTAGTGCGTTCGTGCCCGCCGGAGCAGGAGGCGTCT